CCGCCCGCGCACCTCCGTCTGCACCATGGCCGGCCTCTGCGTCCGCAGCATCTTCACCGTCTGGAATATGTCCACCACGCCCTCGTAGCGCATGCGCTCCAGCACGATGCTCAGCGTGATGAACACGCCGGTTCTGCCCACGCCGGCGCTGGGGGGGGCAGAGGGAGGGGCCTGTCAGGCGGAGGCGGCGGCCCGGCGTGGCTCGCCCAATACCCACCCCGACAGGGAGAGGCCCCGCCCCTCGCCCGGCCCCGCCCCTCGCCCGGCCCCGCCCACCTGCAGTGCACCGAGATGGGCCCGTCCTGGCCGAACTGCTCCTTGGTCTTATGCACCTGGCCGATGAAGTCGATGAAGCCTTCTCCCGACTTGGGCACGCCCTGCTCGGGCCAGTCGGTGAACTGGAACTGCCGCACTGTCCGCGACTGGCCGTCCTGCAGCGCGACAGTGCGATGCTGTGGCCGCGGCCGCCTGTCCCCCTTCTCCCGCCCCCTCCCGGAGGCCCAAGTCCCACGGAGGGGCCGGCCACCTCCTGTCCACCATGACCCCAGCCTCCACCCCAGCACGCCTCACCGGCCCTTCCTCCACACCCTCTGCTGCCGCCATCTTGCAGGCTGGTGCCGCCCCGTCCACCTCCCAGCCCTCCCCAAACACCGCTGCATCCGTGTGACCTCCCGCGAGGCCACCCCTCCCTGGGGGCTTCCCAGCCGCTGTGCCCTCGCCGCCCGCCCTGGCTGCATGGCGCACGCTTTTCCATCTCCTGCCGTCAGCCGGGCCCTCACCGGCCCCCCTCCATGGACATCCCCAACCGGTCTCCTGACTCCATCCTCACCCCACCGCACTGGCCACCACCGTGCCCACAGTGGCAGTGACCCACAGATTCCAACTTGTGTCCCCAGAGGGTGGGTGGCTGGTCCCCATCTCTGCTACCCTCCCCCCCTCACTAAGTCTGGGCCTCTGGCCCCCCACTTCCACCGAGTCTCCATCCCAATGCACCTCTTGCCACCTGCCTGGGCTTCCATCATTGACCATTACCCAGGACCCTCAAGAACCCCCCAATACTCTACAGTCTGCTTCCTGCAGAGAGAGGCCTGGCACACAGGGGCACTATGGCCAGCCCGGGCCCCAGTGCCTCGGCCACAGATCAATCCCCGCCCCACAAGCTCTCTCCTTTCTGCCCCAGGGCCTTTGCTTCTACTGGCCAGGGGACAGACACCCTCCTCATCCTAGGAGGAGGCCAGCAGGGCCCTCACATTCCTGTTAGAGCCTGGCCGGGCTGAGACAGTGGAGGATGGGTGAAGGAGGACAGACCTGACTAAAGGGGAGACCCACTCTGAACGCGGGGCCACCGTCCAAGAGGGACTGTGGGGGGAGATGGAGAAGAGGGAGAGAGCAGGCTGGGGTTCTCGGCGGCTGTGGCCCCCGCTCACCCGGGCGTCGGTGACCTTGAACTCGCGCAGGATGTACTGGGGCATGTTGTACTCCGCCATGGGGTCCACCACGAAGTACTGGTAGCGGGCGGAGCGCTCGGCCGGCCAGTACTGGTGGCACTTCTCCTGCGGGAGCGGGGAGCCACGGTCAGCCCCAGGGCTGCTGGGTGTGGCCGCCCCCCCCCACGCCCGCCCCCTCACCCGGCCCATCTCGCGCAGCTTGGTGAGCATGACGACGATGGTGGAGTTGTTCTCCCACAGCATGCGCCAGAAGTCCTCCGTGCTCTCGGCCAGGGGCCCCTGCGTCGCTATGTAAGCCTTCTGCTGCCTGTGGAGAGGGTGAGGGACGGGGGCACTGAGGGGGCGCCCTCTCCCCAGCACCCACGCCACACGGGGGTCTGTCAGCCTCAGAAATGTCCAGCTCCTCAAGGAAGCCACAGGAAGGCCTCCGCCCCAGGGCCTTTGCACCACCAACCTCCCTGAGTGCCCCCTTCAGGACAGGGGTCCGGCCCGCCTCGGGGGGCCGGGTACCTATAGCCGTCGATGAAGCTGGCGTTGATGTAGTCGGAGCCCTCCACGCCCCGGATGGGCTGCAGGCAGACGCGCGTACTCTCATACGGCATGACGTTCACCAGGCGGTTTTTGAACTTGTTACAAGGCAGATTGGCACTGATGAAGCGGGAGGTGTGGGCCTTGGAGTTGGCCAGCCGCTGTGGGGACGGGAGGATGGGACACCGTCAGGGAGGGGGCCCTCCTCCCCGCTTTCGCCAGGCTCGGGGAAGCCACCGCATCTGGTCACCCACTTCCAGCCTGTCCCCAGCTCCTCGGGCTCCTCACCACCCCACCGCAGCTGCCTCTATCCGGCCATCACCTTGAACTCCAGTTCCATGCCGGTGACGTGCTCTCCAGGCTCCACCTGAGCCAGCTTCTGGATGTAGGTGTAGAGGCTGCGTGCGGGGACCTCGGTGTTGCCGCAGCCCACGGCCTCCAGCAGCGCCTCGTGGATGAAGCTGTACTGGTCCTCCGTCTGCACCATGTAGTTGCGCTGTGAGCGCATGAGCGTCACGTGTCCGTACACGTCCACTGTCTTCTCGGGCCGTATCCGCTCCAGCATGGCGTCGATGACGATGAAGCAGCCCGTGCGGCCCACACCAGCACTGCAGGGAGAGCGGGGCGCTCAGGGACAGCCGGGGCGCTCGGGGGCCGTGGGGTGCTTGAGGGTCGGGGGGCACTCGGGGGCCAGGGGGCACAGGGCACTCAGGGGCTGTGGGGCGCTCGGGGGCTGCGGGGCG